TAGCTTGTTTATATAGCGAGTGTGTTTATTGGTGACGTGCGAGTCGAGATGTCTGTGTGGAGTCCCTGTGGAGAGCTGGAAACGGTTCTCGCTCACTCAGTTTGCTCTGGATGGCCTCCAGGATGCTGTCGGAGTCGCAGAGCATGCAGGGCGTAGTGGTGCAGATCTGGATGTGGTACTTTCCCACCGGCTGACGGAGGAACATGGTGTAGAAAGTGGCTACTTCATAAACCCTCATTGGAGCAATGCCCAGGATCTCTGCCACCTGCAGGAGAAATCAGAAATCACACCAGGGAACGCTTTTAGGACCACAGCTTTAAATCAAAAATATGAAAACCAGAATATGTTCATAATAGAAATTAAGAAATTCACTATCACAATTGAAAAAAAAAAATATTATTACTATTATTATTATTTTTATTTTTTTTTATATTTATGATACTGTATATTTTTGTGCACCTGCGGAGCAATAGCCAACATTCGGTAGAAACTTATATTTGAATAAAAACAGAGCAATATTTGTGAATGAAACATTCCAAATGATCTGGACTGTAAAATGCTGAATATCTATAGCAGGTTTGATCATTTACAGAATGGAAATGCATGCCTCATCAATGTCATGTGTTTCATGAAGGCTGGGTGACTTAAACATACTGCTGTGCACTAAATAAGATGAGAACTACACATGAAACTGTGATGCATTTAACAAAGATGTTTTGCCACACAACAAAAAAACAAAATCAATACTTTAAATGTCAAAAACACTTTATGAAAAAAATAAAAAGCACAGATCATATAAATTACAACTAAAATTGTCAGGTCAGTTTTATTAAAATTTCCACATTTTAACTGATTTGATTATTAACAGGTTTCCAAACAATTTTGACCAATTAATTTCAATGACTGTCCATACTGGATACATTTAAAAAAAATACAAAAATAATTAAACCGAGACTGACTGCACTCAGGGTTATTACAGCTAATAAAAACTAAATAAATAAATAAACTTGAAATACATTATTTGAAATAAAATAAACATTACCTGAAATAAAATATTTTAAAAAATATATATATTTTATTTCAGCTAGTCGCCAATGCAACATTTCTCATTTTCATTTTGCTGAAATCAAAAGAACTTAAACTAATAAATAAAAATGAATAAAATCTATAGATTTAGAAAAACAAAAACTAATAAAAATGAATAAAAAAAAATTACTAAAACTTTAAAAGTTCAAGTAAAAATAGAAAATACAAAAATGTGACCACGGACCACAAAATCAGTCGAGATTTATACATAATCTGAAAGCTGAATAAATAAGCTTTTCAATGATGTATGGTTTGTTAGGATCGGACAATATTTGGCTGAGATACAACTATTTGAAAATCTGGAATCTGAGGGTGCTAAAAAAATCAAAATATTGAGAAAATCACCTTTAACGTTGTCCAAATTAAGTTCTTAGCAATGCATATTACTAATCAAAAATTAAGTTTTGATATATTTATGGTAGGAAATTTACAAGATATCTTCATGGAACATGATCTTTACTTAATATCCTAATGATTTTTGGCATAAAAGAAAAATCAATAATTTTGACCCATACAATGTATTTTTGGCTATTGCTACAAATATACCCCAGCGACTTAAGACTGCTTTTGTGCTCCAGGGTCACAAATAAAATCTGATTCAAAACATTAACAAACTATACTTATAATTCTATACTTATGTTTAACACTCCCTTGCATAATTTGTATACATCTGTCCATACAATATATCGTCTATTGTCTTTTTGTCTATTGCGTATTGTTTTTATTTTATCTGTGTCTCGTCACTTGTAATCTGGAAGCTTCTGTCACCAAGACAAATTCCTTGTGTGTGTGTGCGCATGTAAGCACACTTGGCAATAAAGTTCTTTCGGATTCTGATTCTAATAGTATATCAATGACCCTAAAATAACACCGCTCATATCTAATGGAATAACAATAAACGTATATACACTATTAAATAATCACTAAGAGTTCCAGGTTTTTAAGTGATTGTGGGAACTCATTATTATTTATCAATCAAAAAAAGCTTTGGTGCATGTCTTTAGAAGCTCTCACCCTGTTCATTGCTGAAATAGGAAGCCATCCGTGCTGCCTCTGAGCCACATCCAGCACAGGAATAGTGGCGGCCGCCTTGTGTCCCTCTGGGTAATTATTCATGATGGCCTCAACTCTCTGTAGCCAAACACATTATACAATAACCACACAGCTATAATCTTTATTCAACATATCTGAACACAGCAAAACATATTTGATCTTACCTGTGGAATACAGTTATAAAATATCACAATGGCAGCAAAAATGCCTTAAATATGATGCCATATTATGATATCAAAAAGTGGTGAGATTTCCCTCACCTTGATGTTCTCTGGGCTGAATTCAAATGGAGTCTCTGGGTTGTTGTCCGGTGTGTCTCTGTGCTGGAGTAATGAAAACAGAGCAAAACAAATGCAACAAAAATATCAGCCTTATAATAGTGCGTCCTCCTGGTTTTTAACAATACAACATCGATTGCTTTACAGCAGCTTTAGAGTATTAAAAATACAGTATTATTGTTGCAAAGTTCTTCAACAATAGATAAAAATATAAGTGTCATTATCAGCATTGATTCATTTCAGTTCAATAACTGTGTAAAGTTCATCAAATTATAAAACAAGCTTAACTCAACTATAAAAAGTCAATCGTGTTGGAATTCAGCTCAATTATGAAACGAATTCAGCAATAAAGCAACTCTACATAAGACAATAGTGTAATTATTTAGCTCAATTTGATTCAGTTTTGTTCACACTGATGATATTACTGAATATTAAGTGTCTCATGTGCACAGAGTGCAATAAACATATGAAAGTCAAGTCTCACCACAAAGATTCCTCCAGCTCCAGCTCGAGCTGATGTCTGGTGCAAACTGCGGACCTGCCTCGCCTGCAGAAGAAATGCAACAAGTGTAAAGTACAATAGAAAGCAAACAACTCTTTTTTTTTTTTCCTTTTTTGCAAACTGCTAAACCATTACATCCCTTTTTGTATATTGTATGTATTGACCAAATATGCAATATAATATTTTGTGCACTAAGCATGCAATGCTCTATAACGTTTCTGTTTAGTTATTACAGTGTGTATTGTATTAGTCACTGCAATAGAAAGACATACATATAATTAACTTATTTACCGATTCAGGTTTATTTACTGATTACTCAACCTGTCTGGGTGAATAGAAACAACTTCTAAAAAAAAATAACATTTTTGATAACACATCACGGTTTTAAAGAGTGTCTAATAAACACAAAATTTTTAATTCATATTTTAATGACATATAAACACAACCAGGCCTCATTATTAGCCGTTAGCGCATTAGCTTCATGTCCTTGCACAGATGTCAACGCCGCTTTAAATGATGATTCATATGCAATTTCTTCAAGCACCTCATGAATAATCCGATTACAACATATATAAAATAAACCTACCGCATAAGACACGGCAGAGCGCAGAGTTGAAGATAAAAACATATTTTCAATGCGCTCGGTCACACTAAACACAAGCAATGGCGGATATCAAGTATTGCGCGCTCGATTGAGCGGGTCTGGTTACGCAAGGGACGCACGCTCAAAGAGTCTGAATAATGGATCACCGAGCGGCAAACGAACAGATGCACACGTTGTGTTCTTGACATGCCATGATGAAAATAACACAGACAATCAGCATGCTGCACACTTGTAGAACTTGAGCTTAAATGCTAAAACGGGTTGTAATGCAAGACTGTTACTAAAATGTGAGCCAGTATTGTTCTGCTTAACATTTGCGGTTTATTTACATTTACATTTAGTCATTTAGCAGATGCTTTTATCCAAAGCGACTTACAAATGACAATAAAAGCAGTCAAAATCAACAAAAGAGCAATGATAATATAATGACAAAATATTTCAAATGAATATATAAATTGACAATTTTTGTGTTCTTTCCAAATGCAATAGCAGAGAATCAATATAATATAATACTAGGTACTAGATTTGTTGTCCTAATTAAGTATTTTGTGCAAGTAGAAATTGTTTTCCAGGAGATCACAGCGTAGGCCTAGGCATCAATTCCAATTCCATGAGTGGGCAGGAGAATCCAGAGTTATGACAAAGGGTGGATGAGTCATGAAAATCATCCTGTGCAGACACAAAGACATTATTTATTTAACCAATATCTATCTATCTATCTATCTATCTATCTATCTATATCTAAGGTTTTTCATAGTTAGAGTGTGTTAGTTTGGTGTCATCGTTATTTATGTTCTTTCATTTCTTGAATTATAATTGTAAAAATTATTTATATATAACACATTTTTATTGTAAACATATATTTTAGGGTTAGTGGGTCATTCTCTGCTTATTTATTGATTAATATCAATCAATCAATCAAGTATTTTTCTTTAATTTCTTCAATTATAATATTACAATACATAAAATATACTGTAAAAAAAATAGAAAAATTAAAAAGTTTTAGGGTTAATGTGTGTTAGTTTGTTGTCATTATTATTATTACATCAAAATTTAAACGTTGTTCATAAGTAAATTATGTTTTTACTTTAAAAATGCAAAAAGGTTTCTTTTAGGGTTAGTGTGTATGTTAGCTTGTTGTCATGACTATTGTTAAGATGTTTTATTTTAATGTTTTTGATTATAATTGTAACAATGTTTCACAAGTTAATAACTTTTTATTCAAAAAATGCAAAAAAAAGTCTTCATTTAGAGTTAGTGTGTTTATTATTATTGATTTATTTACTTATTTTAATTTATTCAATTAAAACGGTAAAAGTTATTCAAGAGTAAATAACTTTTTTTCACTAACCCTGTCTTCTTGTAGGGTTAGTGTGTGTGTGTGTTAGTTTGTTGTCATTACAACTAGCCTTATATGAAGTCAATGATATGTCCTCATTATGACAGCCAAATAAACCTTTTATGTGTGTGTGTTTCAGTAAACATGCAGATCATCCGTCAGACTCGTGCTGCTCCTCCCTCTGCAGTGGGATCAGCAGCAGAGCAGCCGCTCAGCCAATGGGAAAGTAGGAGTGCTGAATGGAGCGCTCTGATTGTTGGAGGCGTGCTGAGCAGACTGGGCATGATTAAAGGGTGGCCACCACATGCACAGCCACAATAATCTGCTTCATCTCCAGACTGACATCTATCTTGAGTTGACACAGATTTTAAGGATTGAGAAATGTCTCCAGTTTCAGTCTCCACCAACAGGGTCGTTCCAGGACCGCAGGAGCCGGAGGAGAAGACCTACCATCCATCCGATGGCCTGTTCACTGATGCACACGTGCCAGACTTTGATGCATATCTTGCTTTATACAAAAAGTCTACAGAAGAGCCTGAAGGTATCATACAATTGTGCATGCATATAAATGGGAGGGACACTCCAATGTAAGATAATGCAGTAAAAGTGTTGATTTACCATGCATTGCAGAGTTCTGGGCTGATGTTGCTCAAGAGTTTTACTGGAAGAAGCCTCCGTCAGGCCCGATGCTGCAGTATAACTTTGATGTCAACAAGGGGAACATTTACATCAAGTTTATGGAGGGAGCAAAAACCAACATCTGCTACAACATCCTTGACCGAAATGTGCATGAGAGGAACCTAGGAGAGAAAGTGGCTTACTACTGGTAATCTAACATGTTCTCAGTGTTATACAATTATGCACAAAGACCTCTGTGCATACAATGCATGCTTGATCTGATTTAATAGTTGATGCATTTGAGGCCCGCTGCTTGTGTCAAAGTCAAAGCAAAAGAGCAGCACTTGTTGGCATGTGTTTCTCTACAAGCTCACTAAAGAAAGAATGTTTTATTAAAATAAATGATGTTGTCAAAAAAAGAGTGACAAATGCAGAGACATTCTGAAATATATGTTAAAACGTGTATTTAAAATATGGGGGGGACTTTTTATTTCAACCAGTGTTTACTTTAAGTTTTAGTAATTTTGTTACGCGCTTTTATGTATTTTTTAAATATGTGTATTTGTTTAATACTATTATTATATATAGTAATACTAATATTATACTTACATTAAAGTAATTATAGGTTGCAACATGGTTATAAATACATAAAATTATAATTATATTACATTGTTTATGCATTTTTGCAAGGTTCAGTCCGTACTTTTAATGTTGAGAATATGATTTTGTAAGTATTTACTTGTAGGGCTCGGCAGGAGCTCCTGTTCTTCTAGACAAACATGGCAGGGCACAATGATTATTATGAGTCTTATTGAACCATGTCACCTGCATTTGACATCAACTATCACATAACACCTTGATTACATACGATAAAGAGTGATAAGATGGTTCCTGTAAGAATTGCATGAATGTCACATGAGAAGTCATCCGATTGTTAATTCCTAATAACTTCTCAGGAACATCCCTATGACTCTTTCCAGTATTTAATCAAAGTGATACAATTTTGGCTTGATGTCACACTGTATGCAGGTGACATGTTTCAGTAACCCTCAGAATAATCATTGTTGTCCTGTTAGCTATGCGCTGAAGTATTAATAGTCTTGTGGAACAAGGGGTGTCATGTAACTGCTGTTATATACAGAACCACTCGAGTCATATATCAATCACCTGTTTTACATTACCATTTAACACTACCATCTCACAAAAACGTATCCAGGTCATATTTCACCCCAAATTTGTAAAGAAATAAAAAATGGTATAGTGCATATATTAAAATAACACATATTTCTATGAGCATTAACATTATTATGATTGTTTTAATGGCAATTAAGCTCTTTTCACCTTAAATTTGTATTAGTGCTGTCAAACGATTAATCGCGATTAATCGCATCCAAAATAAAAGTTTTTGTTTACTCATTGTATGTGTGTGTACTGTGTATATTATTATGTATATATAAAGACACACACATACAGTATATATTTTGAAAATATTTACATGTATATATATATATATATATAAGTAATTGTTTAAGCAATTTAAGCGTTACTGTTTAAGCAAAATATCATTTAGTTTTTCTATATTAAGATTTTGGGTCAATAGGCAAATAACTGCGGCAAACTAAATATAAACATTTTAATAATACCAGATGAACAGGTTTGCATGGGTGAACAGAAGCGTGTTATGAGGACAGATTCCTGCGGCTGTAGTTCTTACAGTCTATAGTCTATAGTCTAGACCGTCTCTCTCTGGCACGTTACATGAGGTGGTTTTGGCAGAGAGTCTCCTAACAGATGCCAAGAACTAAAGCATGCGAACCATGCTGAGGCGACACTTCAGTTAGGCATTAAGCATCAAGTGCTAATGGAGGACACAGGAGTTCACACAGGCTCGTAAAAGCAATATGGACAATGCATATCCTCAAACATATACACAAAACATGATGCAGTGTGCAACCTCAGAGGTCAGCGTCTATTCTTTACGCTATACCTAAGGGGTCGCTTTGCTTAAAAACTGTTCGCCCTGTCAGCAGTCCATCATGGTCTTTCCTTTTTTGGACGGCCAGGTGCAGATGCACAGTAAACCGAGCGGAGAGCTTTCATGGGGATTTGCGTTGTCACGATGTTCCCTGTGTTGCATGAATTTGCACACCAGCTACTAATGTAAAAGCAGCAACCCTTGCACAAAAAAGCACACTGTCTTCAGAAATTCTAAGTTTAAAGTGTGGTTTAACAAGGCATGTTGCCATATTACAATCTATTTAATTGACTTGTGCAATAAGTGAAGCCCACTGGCCAAACGCACAGCTGACGGAAGTCCAAATCTAATGCAGGCAGCAGAGCCAAAGTACAGCCCTATTCCTGTAAAAATGAGACGCGTACAGTGGGGTCCAAAAGTCTGAGACCACACTGACAATCAAAGTCTAAATTCACTGTGGGAATAAACAGTTTTAGGATTTGAGACAACAAATGAATATTATGGCGTAAAGCAAAGACGAATTGTTTCACATTCTGCATTATGTCTAAATGACAATTCAGATGTGAGTAAATGAGTGTCGCTGCTCATGTCACTCATTCAAACAGAATTATTTTTTTTATTTTTTTTTGCTTCCATTAAAGCACAAGATGCTTTCTGGAGCAAAATAATGCTATTGTTAAAGAAAAAGGGTGAGATATTGTCATACATGTTAAAATATCTATTTTTTCCAAACAGTACTATTTTAGTATTCCTTATATACTATTATAGCACTTATTAATATTATTGAATTATTATTATTTTTATTAAAGTTTTATTATAATATTTTGAAGATTTTCAGGAATTTTGTTTTGCACATAATTTTTATTAGTTTTTGTTTTTAATATTTATATTTGTTTAATATCATTATACATAGCAATGTTATATATAATATTACTATTAATACATGTTAAATCATGTATTTGTTAAAATGTTTTAAAAATTGTTATACTATTCTAGCATTTATTAATATTTTGAATTAATATTGAATTATTAATATTATTCAATTATTATTGAAATATTTTGGAATTTTTAAATGTTCAGTTTTCAATTTAATTTTGGGAATTTGGTTTTGCATTTTTATTAGTTTTTGTTTTTTAATATTTCTATTTGCTTAATATAATTATACATAATATTGTTATATATACTGTAGTATTACTATTAATATTAATAATATCATATATAAAAGTAAAATTTATTTAGTCATTTAGCAGATATAAAAGTCATTTTAGTGTGTAATCGTATTTATTCCATTTATTTGCTAATGCAACATTTTCATTTGAGCTTTTTAAGTGTAAGTTTTTCATCTAATATTTGTTTTATTTCATATTTTTTTCAATTAATGAAAACAATTTTTGACGATTTTAGTTTAGTTAACAATAACAACAATGCATTCAATTTTTCACTCAAATTACTGATAATACAATTTGTCATGATGTATTAAATGCAAAATTGAAGCTTTTTTTTCCACATTCGGTCTCAGACTTTTTGGAAATAATTGCAGATTAAATTTTGGATTTATGTGCCTAATGTGTTCAATAGCCTAAAGTATGTTCAAGAGGCCAGCACACTGTATTGCATAATGAAGGCCATGAATCCATTATTTCCTAATGGTTTAATATTGATCAATGTTTCCTTCAGGGAGGGAAACTCACCTGATCATCACCAGAACATCACCTACAACCAGCTGTTGAGAAACGTGTGCCGATGTGCCAATGCATTGAAGCTGTTGGGTAAGACCATCCTCCTCCTCTGGGTTTGAGTTTGCTCAGCTTTTCTAGAATGCAAATGCAATGTTAGTGCGTTCAGCCTGAACCTCTGACGTGAGTATTTTTCCTAATGCTTTCAGATTTACATTGATGTTTATTTCTGTGATCCAGGTGTGAAGAAAGGAGACAGAGTCGCCATCTACTTACCCATGATTCCAGAGCTGGTGTACACGATGCTGGCCTGTGCGAGAATCGGAGCTGTTCACTCGATAGTGGTGAGCAGCTTTACAGATCTGTAATAGTTTTACATTAAATAAATATTCTGGATTGAAAAGGAATAATTCGCCTGAAAATGCAAATTTGCTGAAAATGTACTCACTCTCAGGCCATCCAAGATGTAGATGAGTTTGTTTCTTCATCAGAACAGATTTGGAGAAATGTAGCATTGCATCACTTGCTCACCGATGGATGCTCTGCAGTGAATGGGTGCCGTCAGAATGAGAGTCCAAACAGCTGATAAAAACATCACAATAATCCACACCACTCCAGTCCATCAGTTAACATTTGGAGAAGCAGAAAGCTGAATGTTTGTGGAAAACAAATTCATCATTAAGATGTTTTTAACTTCAAACCATTGCTTCTGGCTAAAAATGCAAGTCCATAATCCATAATATTGTTTTCTCCAGTGAAAAAGTCATCTTGTCTGATTCAGGAGAGAAATATGCACATATCAAGCACCATTTACAAGCCAAAACAGTCCAAAACAAATATGTCGGTGGATTTTGATGTGAGAGACATCAGTTGGCCAGAAACACGCAGCTTTTGGCTTCACAAGATGTTAACTGATGGACTGGAGTGGTGTGGATTACTTGTGGATTATTGTGATGTTTTTATCAGCTGTTTGGACTCTCATTCTGACGGCACCCGTTCACTGCAGAGGATCCATCAGTGAGCGAGTGATGGAATGCTACATTTCTCCAAACCTGATGAAGAAACAAACTCATCTACATCTTGGATGACGTAAGGATGAGTACATTTTCAGCAAATTTGAATTTTTAGGTGATCTACACCTTTAAGCTCTATCATCTGTCGAGGATGGTCTGAAGGAGAGTTTAAACTCAGGTCAGTATTTAGCACGGTATCATTAATATGCATGAAATGAGTACAGCCTCATTTACCCTGCCAAGTCTATTTCTGCCCACCAAGCCTCTTTAACCATGTAAAGGTTATAGATGAAGTGCTAAAGTGCTTTCCAGGGTAGTTTATATCTGATATCAAAGCCTGTTTTTAAGTTTGGATGATGACACCATTTCAGCCAAACTGTAATTGTATTAATTTGTATTGGAACCTCAGATATCCATATTATTTATCTTGAGCATATGCAAAAGCATTTAACTCTCTCCTGTCTTCCTCATTCAGTTTGCAGGTTTCTCATCTGAGTCTCTGTGCGAGAGGATCATGGATGCTCAGTGCAACATCCTGGTAACAGCAGGTAACACTAAGTGTTTTATTAAGGTGGAGGTCTGGCTCTTTAGACTGACTGTATGTTTATTGGGTTTGTTTAGTAGATGAGCTCACAATGAGCTGTTACAGATAAGCTTGAAATACAGTTAGTGATAAGATAATGTGACGAGAGATGTGATGTGATGTTTACAACACCGGAAATCCTGTGTAGTCACCCTTTGGGCTTGAGTGAAGTCTGAGTCACATTTTGTGGCTTATTCAGGTCTGTCAGTCATGAAAAAAATTATGCACCAAAGTGTTTGTGTGACAGAAATGTATTTATATATTGTTATATTAAAAAATGTAATATGAAATGTATAACAAAATATAAATATAATTTAAATTATATTATATTAAAGTTTTTTAAATATTTAATATATATGTACACACACACACACACACACACACACATATATATGTGTGACCCTGGACCACAAAAGCAGTATTAAGTCACTGGGGTATATTTGTAGCAATAGCCAAAAAACATTGTATGGGTCAAAATTATTGATTTTTCTTTTAT